CAAGGCTGCTGACGGGTGTTTTACTGACAGCGACTTGCATCCAACCTCCGGGAGCTGCACAAAGATCGAGAACCGATTGAGATGAAGTGAGAAAGGAGAATTTGGAATTTAATTGAATCAGCTTAAATGCAGCCCTTGAACGGTATCTCGATTCTCTTGCTAGGTGGTAAAACTTGTCTCTTCGATCTCTCCCTTTCAATTTCCCCATCTCTTAACACTGACACACTGTAAACCTTAACCTTATTAGGGTTTATTTATCCTTTTTTTTTTTTTTTTTTTTTTTTTTTTGGGTTTTCGGTTTGAATTTTAACCTTATTAGGGTTTATTTATCCTTTTTTTTTTTTTTTTTTTTTTCATTCGGTGTTCGACGTTCATATTGGAGCCCGATTAAATCTCCAGTGCGTATTACAGGGCCCATTGAGAGGTGACACTCTCAACATGATTTTCTCCATATCCATGGCTCGAACCCAAGACCCGAGACCCGAGACCCGATCTGATTAAAAGGTCCTACCACTGCACAACTCTACTCTACTTTCACATAACACTTTATTAACGGTATTGTCAGTGGCAGTTACCTTGCTAGGGTTAGGGTTTATTTATCCCCTCTCTACTATCACACGACACAAAAAAATATAAATACTAGTGAAAATCATTTTCACCCCAATTTTGCTTTAAAAATCAGACTCATTCTTCAACTTTTTTTATTACTTTCTTTAAAAATCATGAAATTTGTTTTTTTTGAATTCATGTAACAAATTTTTCATAAAAGGATAAACATTATTTTGGGAAAATTAGCAATTAAGTCATAATAACTAATTTAATTAGTCAAAGTAACAACACTTTAAAATATTAATTTAAAATGGCAGGATGACAATATTTTGATAAAATAATATGTATTCAGATTTTAGTATTTTAAATTAATTTTATTTATGGTAAGAGTCCATTGGACCAAAATATACACCAATAGGCGTTTAAAGTTAAAAAAAAAAAAACTAATACCATTAAAGTTTTTTCAACAAAGTTCACGTTTCTTCCCCAAATTTCAATTTTTTACCTCACATTTCACGTTGCAAGTTCACGTTTCTTCCCCAAATTCAAGTTTTTTCAAGGATTTTTGTTTATTGTTAAACGAAATCTCTTTATTAATTCAAGAAGATTTCTCGGTTGGCAAGGTAATTTCCATCATCCATTTTGATTTTTTTGATTTGATGTTTAAAGCACCTATTATATACCTTACGGATTTCCAGTCGAATTTTCCAATTTTGATGTGATTTTTGTTTGAATATTCATCATATATTTATGGTTTTCAATTTTTTTCGATTTTTTTTGTGATTTTATTTTAAATTTTTTCAGATTTTGTAGATTCTTAGAAACTCATATATATGTTAATTTTGTTTGATATTTTATATATTTTAATACTTGATAATATCAAATTTGCTTTTAGGGTTTTAGATTTTGGGGAAAACATCTGATTATCTACAATGAATGATTCAATCAGAATTACTAGAGGTATACCACATAATATTCAAAATTTTGGGGAATTTTCCTCATTTGATTTGTGTATTACCCAAGGGTTGGTCGAAAATGTAGGATCTGCGGCTAGAATGGCACAAGAGAGCTCTTCAAACAAAAAGAGAGTTTTGTGGTCTGAAACCCCTGATGATCAAGGAAAAGATCGAAGTGATGAAGTATTACTTTGTGGCGATGAAGAGATATTAAATTATTTTGAAACTATTTTTGTATGTTATGTCCATTGTTGATTTTGTGATTGCGTGTTTATTGTTGACATTCCAGTGTTACCATAATGCATGTTTTTATATGCTTGTAAAAATGTAAGGTATGCCAAATTGTGAATTAACCTCATATGCACAATATTCTTCCAGTTTACAAGACGATTATGCATCAAACAAAAGAGAATTTCATCATCTTTTTGTCAGTATGACTAGTATTGTACAGTATAAAGATGTCTTGGCAACAATGGAAAAACATATCATATTCTTCCTGTTGAGAGGATGAATATCAGGGCATAACTTTGTATTATATGCATGATGAAAACTCAGAAACTACATGTCTATTATGCAAACCCAACTTGTGATTGTTTTTGTCATATATGACCCTAGTATTCTTCTTCTGATAATTTACAACAATTCCTATCTCATCATCATATTCGAGGATTGCTAGAGCCAAACAGACTTGTGATGCATCACTTTTTACAATATAAAGAACCCCAGTAACATCAACTTCCATCTCAGCACCACCCTCAAACCATATTGTATTAGCCAATGTATTTGTCCATAACTAGTTGTATACTTATACTAGATAGTTGTATAATATATTGTATTTTTTTCAGCACCTTTATGTATTCCAATTTATTAGGTTTATAGTATGAGTTCATTATGTATTCTATTTTTGGGTTGATATTAATTTTTTATCTCATTAATATTCACAAATCAGAATGAACATCCAAGTTTTCAGAATGTTTTTCAATTTGTCGTATAGGTAGTTTCTTTTATCATATTTTGTTATCTAGAAATAGAATTATATATCAATAATTATAGAAGTATGTATTCATTTATTTGAACATGTGCAGGCAAGTGAATTTTACGTCAAAGATCAACCTACAAAAGCTCCATATATTCAATGTGTCTTTAACAATGACATAAAAACTGACTTGATTAGAAATTTACATGAGCATGTATATAATGTATTTCGCGAGAGCACTTGTTTTGGTAATTACATGCAAATGCATGGATGTTGTGCACGCGGACAAATACATAGATGCTGCATGGCTTTAGAACTCAATTGCAGTTCTGGTGGACAATGGTTCTGTTTATGGCTTTGGCTGGATGGGCTTTGGTAGCCTCGGATTCCTTGATAGAGGAGCATCAGATAAAGTTTTGAAGCCTCGGATCCTGGAGAGCTTGAGATCTCATCACATATCTCAAATTAGCACTGGCTTATACCACACCGTAGTTGTTACAAATTGTGGACGAGTCTTTGGATTTGGAGACAACGAAAGAGCCCAACTTGGGCATGATGCAGTAAGAGGATGCCTTGAACCTACTGAAATGTTGCATGAATAATGCAAGCAATAGCGGAAAACACGCCTCGTACAAGAGTGTACTAGTATCGAGCACTAAAGTGCCAAAGTTGTCTAGTACATGTTACTAATCAAATAATGTATATTGACCAGACCAATATTGTTTGTAGAGTGTTATATAACATTTCAAAAAAGGACTTTAAATGTTTTACTTTGTTTTTTATTTGTTTATTGATTAAATCTTTTGTTAGTGTTCTTGTGTAAAGAAATATTTTGTTGTATGATAAAAAAAAACAATCATTCATTATTGTATTCTGAAGTTCATTACAACCTCTTCCTCATCCCAGGTACAGAAGAGCAGAAAACAACATTAATTAAAGTCTTGAAAAGATCAATTACTCTTTAATGGAGACTTTCAACATGTTAAAAAGAGTCACAATTTCTACCTCGCTGCAATCATCTTCAATTACCCAAACATAATTCACACGATATGCAATCGCCTGGATCATTACAGCCACAATTCATCACATGCAATTGTCTTCAATATTTTAGTTTGTTAAGGGTTGAGTTATGTATTTATTTTATTTTGATTAATTTGAAAGAATACAAATAATTAATAACAGAATAGAGAAAATCATGGGAAGTTTGCCATATTATTCTTCATCCAAACAGTTATTTTTTCAGGTGAAAGAGTTACCAAAAAAGTTCCTAGAATACATTTTGATCTGGTTGAAAGCGGTATGTACAGTCAGTTTCCAGATGGTGTCCCCCTTAAAGAAATTACAGCCTTTTCCTTAGCCTTCCATGCCACTGCGTAGGATACATCTACTCCAAGAGCTAGGTTGACATCTTGTTGTATATCCTTTGCCGTTAACTTCCTTTTATGATCAACTAATTTGGGTTGGATCATACCTCCAATAAGATTGCTTGTTGCCTGTTGTTGATCATACACCTTATCTTTCAATGGACATGTGTGCTCATCTACGAATTTTCTAATTCTAAACATTCCAGATTTATTGATACTTGACGACTTCAACATCCATCCACATTTCTCAGACACACAAACAAGTGTATAACTGTTTGAATATTATACTATTAGAATTGGTATAATACAAATTAAATGTTGATGTTATGTAAAAAAAAAACATATTGAAAATACAATTATAAAAGAAATCCAACCCAAATACATACCATGTTTGACTTGATCTGTTCGTTCTCCATTGGAATCTATGCTCAATTGCGTATTGCGTCATCACAGCTTTTAAAGTTTCCTTGTCCTTATAAACTTGATCTTCCAATACTACCTTATGTTTGGTGTTTGTAATAATGTCACAATTCATGTAATCGCTATTGTTCGGCACACTAAGCATTAATGCTTGTGTATCAACTATATATCCTCCATCTATTCCACACATTTGAAATCCATCTTCCAAAATATTTCTATCATCCAATCCACAATCATTCACAAATACGAATACACATAGAGGATACTTTGCCAATTCCTTGTTATCTTTCTTCAAAGACACATACACCCTCACACCCATGTCGTTGTGTATTTCCAAAGGTGCATTACTACCCTCTATTTTATACCTAAGTTTCACACTGTTGAAGCCATACTCAACACAAATTTGCTTAGAAACAACATCTAATAATTCTCTAAATGTCGCATATTCTTTTATCACAATTGCTTCTATAGTGTAATCAACGTAGCAATTATCCTCGTTCCACCTCCCAGAATGCATGACTAGAAAACTAATGCTTCCCATAACTACATTAACAAATATATTTTTGATAATCACAGATTTGCAGTAGTCTAAAACAAAAAAATTGTATCCAATAATCAATTACATAAATGTAATGTGCGCTCAAACATCAATAGCTTCAGAAAGAAAAATTATAGAACACGCACTCAAGTTATATGACATACAAAAAAATATTGTATCCCATTCAAATAAAGAAGAAACAACTATGAAACAAAAAAATCAAGCACTTTCAAGCCTTATGCATCATATATTGGATACAAAACATATGATTGTATGCATAAGGATAATTAATTAAACATAATGGCATACAAAAAAATATTGTATGCCATTCAAATAAAGAACAAGCAAATACGAAACTTAAAAAAAAATCAAGCACTTTCAAGCCTTATGCATCATATATTGGATACAAAACATATGATTGTTCATGAGCGTGTTCATGTGCTTTGTATGCATACATTAACAACACCTTCAAAATAACAACAGCTTCAAACCTAAAAAAATATATAATTTCATATTGTTAATATTTACAAAAAATTAGTATTCATTCAAATAAAGAACAAACAACTATGAAATTAAAAAGAATCAAGCACTTTCAAGCCGTATGCATCATATATTGGATACAAAATATATGATTGTTCCTCAGCGTGTTCATGTGCTTTTTATGGATTTCAATGGAACTGACGTCGAAATTTCAATAAAATTTTCAAACCATACAAAGATTTCACCGATTAAAAAGAAACAACAAAAATTAAATACCTGATGTCTAAATTTCTTGTATTCAATAGAACTGACGAAATTATAGTCGTGGAATTCGAAAACATCCAATTTAAGAATATGCCGAATTCGATTCGAAGAAGTTAGGAATATTATCAATTGACCGATTAGGAAGACAAAAACTTTTTTTTGCAAATTTTTTGTTTGGAATTATTAACAATGGAAGACCAAAAAACGCTCCACAGAAAGTGAGCCAACATCCACGCTTTGAAAAAAGTAACTGAAAAGTTTTAAAATCTTTTTTCCTTTTTGATGTTTTATGTTCCATGTTTTTCTCTTTTTTTATTATTTAAGTATTTTGTATTCTTTCAGTATTATCATAATAAATAAATACATAAATCATCCTTTTAACAAAATAAAATATTGTCATTTTTAATAAATAGTTAAAAATGTTGCTAATGAGTCCCACTAAAGACTTAAATATTGTTGTTTTGCTAATTTTCCCCATTATTTTTGAACGAAAAAGTGACAATTATTAAGTAAGTTTATGAGCTAATGATGTTTTATAATGAAGTAAATTAGCATAATGAAAAAAATGCTTTTACTAATAATAATCAAACTCTAATATTCATTTACACAAAAAATAAAAGAGACTAATAACTACAAATATATTTTGATGTAGGAAATATAAAATAATTAATTTAATTAAGGTCAAATTTATAAAGATTGTATGTTTTAAAATTTAAATTATTTTAAATTATAATTTATATAAACTTCATTAATGTCAATCAAAATTTGTTTATTTATATAGACAATAGAAAATTCTCCGGACGTTTATATTTTGAGTAGTTGTTTTGATTTACTCGTCTAATTAATGAAATCAAAAGAATTTTTAATATTATTTTTTTATTTCTACCCTTAATATTAAATAACAACATAAAATAGTGAATATCAAGATCTCTCATAAGTTATTTTATTTTAGTGGAGTCTTTTTATTTTTACACATTATAGATATCAAGATCTCTCATAAGTTAGGCATTGTTACCCTTCTCTAGGTGACATATCGCAAGGTATATATTCTTTAGAATGTCTTGCTTTTTCAATACAAATCATATCTTATGGGTTCATATATTATAGTTTTTGTCGTACAACTTATCACCGATATAAAATTATACCTTTTGAAGTCATAATCTGCTTATACTTATAAGCGACAATTATGTTAGAGTCACTCATCAATAATGCATGTGATACACACGTAAGAAAATCAGTTCTCATATTTTCTTTACTCTTAGTACAGAATTGATGGTCACAAAATTTTCAATCATCATTTGCAGATCAAATGACTATTCAAGAATTGCAATTATTTCTTAGTATATGTTATATTAAAGAATTTTAATTCAGTCTTAATCCATAATATTAATAATATTTAAATATCACAAAAATTTAACAAATAGATAAAGAACACATTCTCATAAAAATTATTCAAAATATCATAAGTGATATAAGCACTTGTCTACATTAGACATCATCTTTCTCATTACGCGGGTGATAAGGATTTATAACACTATCAGCTAAAATCTTAGCTAGATTGTTTATAGGAGAACGTTGATAAAAATGAGGCCTTGGACACGTTCTTAGAAGCCAATATTTCTTTATTTTAGCTTCTATATCTATTTTTTCCTCCCACTTGACTTTAAGTGCATTCATATATGTCAGGAAATCCTCATTTGGACCAAGACAGATATGAATGTTAATCATTACGTCCATCCAATTATTTGGGAGAGAAGAAATAAATATAACTAAAGCTTCTGGACTGAAGACCGATATAAAATAAAAAGTTAATTCTTCTCATTTCATCTGAAATAATTGAATATATTATAGTATTACTTACCATATGGCCTGGCCTAACCCGGGATTTAATAGGGTTGGGCTAAGATTTTTGGAGCCCATTTAAGAAAAGGGCTTTTTAGCCTGGCCTGAATAAGCCTGTTGATTTGTGGGGCTTGAGAAATATAGGTAGGGCCGGCCCGTGGGCCAAATAAAAATAATTAAAAAATATAATATAATATTAAAATTTAAAATTAACGAGAGTCCAAACTCAAAATCTATTTAATATTTAACTAATTGAAACCGCATATAAATTGAAGATGAAAATGAAGATGTTAAGACAACCTTGCCATAAGTTGATTCAGATATGCTTGATGAAGATGATCATGAAGTGTTGGATACGCCATAGATTTCATGATGTGTTAGATACGTCATAAGTTTCATGATTTTTTTAAGGAGTTTATTTTTAACTTTTTTATGGTTGGAATATTGTCACATTTTTTGTGTTTTAATGTGACAAAACAATTATGTTAATATTTCTATTTAGATATTTATACTTTTATTTGAAAAAACCTTAATAAATATTATAAAGATAATTTTATTTGTGGATTTTTTTTTTTGATAACCGAGAAATCCGTCTGTGACCCGCCCTTTGGACCAATCACAGCCTTCTAAACTCGGTGGATAATGGGCCCGCCCCTCTACCCTTCTCCACTTAAATATCGGGCTTCGCTTTGCATGTAATATTGATTTGTCGATATTTATCATAATATTTTTAAATTATAATTTATACTTTATTTTAATAATTATAAAAAAATATAATTTTAAAAAAAGTGGGCTGGCCCGGCAAGCCTGTAGCCCACGTACTTGTGGCCTGGGCCGACCATTTTTTGGCCCATACCAAAAATGGGCTAGCCCGGCCTGACCCATAAAATATCAAAGCCTGTATGGATTAGCCTGGATGGTAAAATAATTACATATTGTCACACTAATTAATAATTTCATACCAAATTGCAAGTCAGATACACCTAGATACATATATTTTGCTACTAGATTCACTGAAATAGCGTAACACCCCGAAATTTTTTTGAGCTAAGACTCGAACCATTCTTCATTGTGAGTAAGATTTTACCAAGGAATTTAAAATTTCTTAAGTGTCAAGGTTAGATCACTAGATAGAGCACTTTGAGTTCCAAAAAGAATTAAAGAGAATTCATTCAAGTCATTCCTAAGTTCTTCTAAGTTTTGGGTCAACTCCAAACGACCATAACTTTCAATACAATATGAGTTAGGAAATTGATAAGATATCAAATGAAAGATCTCTGAGTCCTCTCTCGAACGCCATCGAGTTTTCTAATTTTCGAGCTCGTATGAGAGAGATATGACCTTTTGAAGTTAGGCTGTCCGTTTAAGGAAAGTTACCCAAAAATATGATGGGTATTTTGGTCTTTTCCTTACCCAATCAGATTAAAACAAAATATGGTAATATTTAGGGGACTAAACTGATTTGGTTCAATTTTCACAAATTCTAATTACGCTTAGGGTTTAAGAAGAAAGTTCAAGAAGAGAAAAGAGGAGAAAAAGTTCAAAGTTCCAAGCATTCGTTCAAGAAATTCAAGATTTCACCAAGAACCTAGTTCTTTGAGGTATGTAAGCTTCCATAGTGTTGGGTTTGTTCACCCACACGCCAATCATGAGTTTTTTTTGTGAATCTATCCATAAATATTGAGCAATTTAAGTTCTTGATGAGTTATTGATAAGTGTTCTTGAGGTTTGATTCTAAATCTTGTTTTGTTGAGGTTTTGAGGAGTTCTTAAGATGAAAGTTAGTGATTTGAGGGTTGTTTTGAGTAGATTAGTGTACACTTAGGTTGGGTATTCAAATCTAAATGAGTGGGGAAGAAACCATTCGAATCTAGGCAAACTAGGGTGAGAAAACGAGCAAAGAAATTCGTCGGGGTTTTCTAGGAATAGACTGGCGCGCCGCCCCACCATTTCGCTAGTAGAGAGTGTCTGTAGGTAGAGGGTTGGCGCCCTGCGTCACTCAGTGCACCAGGGTCGCCTGTACCTACCTTTTCTCCGTCATTTTGCCCGTCTGAGCTCTTTAAAAGGGTTCCTTTAATCCCTATTGATTCTAAACACTCTAAACTACTTCTAAACACCTAGAAAGCATTCATAACATGAATCATAACCTTGAATTCATAATTCAAATTCAAGGTAGAGTTAAGAGTCAAGTCTTGAGAGTTCTTTCGAATATTTTGAGAAAGTCCCTTTGAGTCCTTTTGAGGAGTCTTCTACAACTTCTAATAACTTGTATCAAGACTCGAGTAAGCGAGTATGAGAATGAGGAGAATGTATTCATGAGTCTACATTATTATCGATATCGTTCATATCATGAATCATAAGTCTTGAATTCATATTCAAATTCAAGAAAGAGTTAGGAGAACAGTTCAAGAAAGTCTTTGAGTTAAATCGTGAATCCTTTGAGATCAACTATCGATTTGAGCTAAGTTTTGAGGAAGTAAGTATGAGAATGAGAAGAGTCATGTACATGAGTTCCATATTGTTATGTAGACCCTTGAGTTGAGTCGTTCATGCCCATAAATTTTGCAGGAACTCCATAAGTTGATTATCTTTGAGAGAAGTAGTATCTTCAAGTTCTAAGTCTTAAGTATTGAGTTCCTAACCACTTTGAGGTTATATTCCTAGTCATGAGACTATTACGTGTTATCCATGAAGGTCCTTGAGTTGAGTTGAGTTGTACATCCCCATAATCTCGCATGAACCCTATGAGTTGAGCATTCTTGAAATGAGTAGTATCATGAAGTCCTTGAGTTGAGTTGATCATTCTCGAGATGAGTAGTATCATTGAGTTTTGGAATTGTTGGGTTCCAAGTATTGAGTTCTATGTATGGTTATTAAAAACCTTGAATTGAGTCGTTCACGCCCATAATTCGGCATGAACCCTATTTTGAGAAGTTTTTTACAATCACTTTAAACTTGTTTTAAGACTTGAGCACCTGAGTTTGAGAAAGAGTAGCGTTGAGTTCATTTTCTTCAAAATGAATATATGAGAACTAAGTATTCCCAAGAGTAAATGTTTTCACATTTAAAAGAGGAGGAAATTGAGATTTCCAAAAGAGTTTTGAGCAGTTTGAGTACCATCTCTTTTAAAAGAAAGATTTTTGAGTAATAACCCCAAAACACAGAAAGAGTTATGTTTTTAAACATATGAGCTAGATATATTTTGGGAGTAGTATTGAGCACCGATATGGGGGAGAGTTTTAACAACTCACAGCCCCCATAAACCATGTAGCCAACGTGGGTAGAAAGGGTCATACTTTTTAGATGATTTCTTGTTGCTTTTTAGCATAGACTAGTGGATCCACTTAGTAGTAGGTTCAATACCCCGACAAAGTATATGACAGTTCTGGCAGCGTAGGCTAGACGATGTATCATCACATAGCTCATAGTGATAGTTGTCGGTTAGAGAATCTTCCGCAGAGTTATATTGTATTTTTATATACAAATTGAGTTATTATTGTATTCTTCAATACATTGAGTTGCTATCTATTGTTTTAAAAGATTTCCATATATTGCATCTTTTATTGTTGCTTTATCGAGAGTTGAGTATCTTATTATTTAGTTGAGCTTCATTTCTCTGATTTGAGTTAAACTATGTTTCACTGAGTTGAATATCATGTTATTGAGTTGAGCCCTATTTTCTCTGAGTTGAGTTGAACTATGTTTCATTGAGTTGAGTTGAGTGAGTTGAGAAGAGGTAAGTATGTTTCTTTTCCATCAGTTCAAGCTTATGTTTATGCTTTAGAATTCCCCTTACATGCTCGTACATTCCATGTACTGAGCCATTTGGCCTGCATCGTTTCATGATGCAGATACAAGTACTATGGATCATTAACAGGTATTTCGTTGAGGTCACGTGATATTCCAGTCAACTTTGGTGAGCCTTCTTATATTTCAAAGGACTTCACCTTTATCTTACATTTAGTAGTTTTGATATGTCGTGGGTCTTGTCTCGTTATACTTCTGTAATAGTAGAGGCTTCATAGATAGACAAAGTTGATGAGTTTCTGTATTTACTTTTATTTTGAGTATTGTACAAACTTTTAAAAAGGTCGAGTATTTGAGTTTATTGAAATTATTTTAGTTTTAAGCTTTTGTATGCTTGAGTTAGTCTTCCGCTTGTAGCCAGTCAGGATGAGGGTTCGCTTGGGGACCATCAATGGTTCTCGAGTGTCGTCCACATCCAGGGTGTAGGCTCGGGTCGTGACAAATAGGGAGAGAGACGAGTGAGATTTTTCTTTGTATTTCACATTCATGTGAATTACACTAGATACATGCCTCTAACACAAGTTACATGTATCAGGGATACTAGATACGCGAGCGAGATAGCCGAGTGACAATGAGAAATGAGAGAGGTGAGCGGGATTTGTTGTATGTATCCCAGATACATGTGAATCCACTCGGATACAATGTATCTAGAACAAATTACACCTAATTTCATCCTCATGTATCTGACATACATGTATCTGGACGTATCTGGATGCACCATATATATGTATCTCAAGTCCAAAATCTGATATAATTCATAATATTGCAAACTAGTGGATATCCAAATAATTAGCTCTTAAACTGATGAGATTTCTCTAAGTTACCCTTTACTTAATAGAGACGTAGAAAACAGATCTCATCAATTTATATGAAACATCACTAATTCAAGTTAAACAACCCATTTATCATTTTAAATTGCTTCATGGGGATGTTTAAGAAATCAAAATTTTATATTGAACAAAATTAAATATCAAACAAATTCACAGATAAGCCATCTTATTTGACTTTGTTAATTATATTTTAAATAAGTAAGAAATCAACAATTAATATCGTATTAAATTCATGTTTTATTAATATCAAATCATTTATAGGGATTTTATAATATATATGCCATAAAATGTCATTTAAGCGTATTTCTGAAGCTTTCTTCATAGGTTTGTATTTTTCTATATTTAATAACTTGATAAGGAGTAATTTTTATTAATTTTATCATTAAAGTTAGTTAAATTTGAGAATCCAGAATTTTAAGGTTGTGACTATTGAACTTTCAAAGTGTCCTTTTTGATTTGGAGGTTGTGGAAGAAGAGAATTCCTATTGGAGAAGTGCTTGTAAGACACCAGATATGTGATTAAGTGCTATGTAAATGTTGTGATGAGAATGAGAGGGAAACAATTGAACATTTATTCATTAAGTGTCCAATTGCTAACAGGCTAAGGGGCAAATTTGCAGCTGCAGGGGGAATTAATGGTCCTTTTTTTGCAATTAAGGGATTCTGTAATGAAATGGTTGAGGGCAGAAAGAACACCTAAGTTGCAAATACTCTTCAATGCAGTTCCTTTATTTACCTTATGGCAGATTTGGAAGAGGAGAAACACCACTAATCATGAAGGAAGAATGACATATGTGGGTATGGAAATAGAAATAAACAGAAATTTGTTTCCGTTAGCCAAGTATAACTACCCTTGGCTAAAAAATTTACCAATATCTTAGCCTGGGTTGGTAAATTTCTTTGAGGAGTACACTCCCACTCTTGGTTGCAGAACAGTAATGTGGAATCCTTCAAAGATGGGGTCTTTTAAATGCAACTTTGATGGTGCATCTAAAGGAAATCCAGGCCTAAGTTCTAGGCCTTTTTGTATCAGGAATAGAGAAGAGAATTTAATTTATGCTGAAATCAGGAGATTATTTGATGGCTCTAATCTAGTGGCAGAAGTGGTGGCATTAAGATTGGGTCTGGAGTTCTGTGTACAACATAATCTTCTCCCTGTTATACTTGAAATTGAATCTCTTTCTTTGAAGAATATTTTGGATGGAATTTGGGAAATCCCTTGGGTCATAGTGATGGAGATCGAGAGGATTAAGATACTTATGAAGGACAAAGAATCGATAGTGGAACATATACTCAGAGAAGGAAATCAGTTGACTGAATTTTTCACTAACCACATTTTCTGTTTTGCAGGTACTCAAAGACTAACATACTCAAATTTTCAGGATATACCAAGTGAGGCAAGAGGCATCATCAATACAGAGAAAGCAAAACTTCCTAGCCTTAGGATAAGAAGATACCAAAATGGAGATTTTTGCTAATCATGATCATACGCAGAGAAGATAACAAGAAAATAATATTATAATTGTGAATTCACATAGCAGACTTTGGAACTTACAAGCAGATGCATCAGTGACAAGAAAGAAGAACATTTAGAGAATAATAAAGTACCTATCTTTATTGAATTTCAAGCAGTGGTATCAGCTTTTAAGCTCAATCTGCTGAGAGTCGAGAAATATGGCGAAACATTGTTCTGAAATAGCAGGTAGATGAGGGCATGACAACAATCAAAACGAAATAAGCAAAAGGGAAATGGATCGTGAAGAACAAAAACTTACCCTTTTGGAATTCTAGGGATATGCAGGCAATGGAGAGGCATGAGTCCAGCTGGAGAATCTACACTCAAGAGGGACATGAAGATGGAGATTTACCACCAGCTCTTTGATTTTTGGACAACAAAAGCTTCATAAACAACTGGAACTCACCAGATCTGTCGTTGTAGAGCAGAAGAAGTCTTCATTAAGCTTGTTTTCATGACATTCGTGAGACTTGGAATGTCTTAGGTGAAAACACCTTAAGCTCGGCAACTTTCAGGTCCTGGATTGGAGTTGGATACTGAATTTAAAGCTCTTGATGTCTCTCTAGCTCATCGACACTTATCTCAATCGAGGACCATGGTTGTTTCGACAGTGTTGTGAGGAAGGAGATGAATCAATTTTCTTTCTCCTCTTTTTTCTTTGATGTCCGGACATTTCAGGTCCTAATTTGTTTCTTTTATTGTTGTTTCCTTTTTCTATATTGTTATTGGGCCTGGGTCGGACCAGGCTATGTAGCATGATTTTATATATGCAATAAAGACTTGTATGGTCTACTTCATCTAAAAAAAATAATCATTCATGTTGATAGTTTTTTGGGTAGTGGCATTTGCTTAGCCATCAAATATTTATCATTTCTCAACTAATAGGAATTGTATGTTATGTAAATGGCAAAACTATAGAATAACAATAGTGTGGAAACAAAAGAGTAAATAAAATTGAAATAGTAAGGATTATATAAGTAGTGACCCTTGAGATATTTCTTAATACGTGACATTTCATATTTATATGTCGTTCTTATTAAAAATAGATATTTCATAATACTTGTTATTTCACAAATCAATACATAAATAACATTATTCTTTCTATTTACAATTTAGAGTTATTAACCTTGAAAGTATGAATTTTACCAACATAGGAAAACTAAATGATTAATTCATGTTCATTGGTCGATTTAATTAATCAAAATAAATTAATTTGTGTTCATTTATTGAAAGTTTGACTTCAAGAGAACACTAAATAATGATACAATGGTAAATTTACATAGTTTCTTAAAGAACGTGAAATCTAAAATTGTGACATATAAATAGGAACAGAAAAAGAATATACCAATTTGAAGGATTTAGTGTTATTCACTTATCACATTTATCTTACAACTACTCCCTCCGTCCAACAATACTTGTCCACTATACTAAAAATAGATGTCCAACAATACTTGTCCACTTTATGAAATCCATGGATAATTTTACACTTAGTTCCTAATTTACCCTTATCATTAATCATAGTCATTTTCCTATTGCATTTGTCAAGACATTGTATTTATTATATTCAAAGGGTGATATAGTAAAATTACCCTTGTATTTATAGTTTCTTAAGGGGTATGCCAAGTAAATAGTGGAAAACTATTGTTGGAAAGAGGTAGTAATATTCTTTTTGTTCATTACGGTAGCTCGCAATTAATTATACTGTGAACTAGTAAATGTGCCCGTGCTTCGCGGGGTTAGAACATTCTTCTTTAAAATTTATTAGAATAGAACTTTTCGTGTATTTTAATGTTATAGTATTTTTATATAAATTTACTTTTAAGAGTAAAGAGGTTATTCAATTGTAGTTTACCATTTGTTTTATTAAAAGAAAAGGCAAAATTACAAATTATAACACTATTTTCTCCTAGTTTACATAATTTCATTTTACAGATTCATTAATTTGCTTTTGATATTTTACAATGGTTAGTTTATTTTTATCATCTATATGCATGGTTACATAGTGTCTTTAATTAGAGAGTCAAATAAATAATTTTCTCAATTTTCTTCTTTGTAAATTTCGTTAGTATAACACTATCAATTACTTTCAAAATATTAAATATTTTTTTAAAATATATATTATAACGACCTGATTCCGTCGTTAAGGAAAAGTCAATGGGGAAAGAATTGGACCAGAAAAACTTTTAAGTAATAACTTGAAATTTCCTAGCCTAGTCCAGATTTGGATGAAATCGGAGTCAGGTGAGTCTAGGGAAATCTGATAATGAATGAGAAGTGTAATAATGAAATTGATTGCGTGAGTGGATAGCTAAGACGTTAAGGAACTCGTATGACTTTACAGAATTGAATTCGGGTGAGTAGAACTCCCGGAATTGATCTTAGCGTGAATGGGTGTTTTCTGGGGGTTTGGGGCTCTTAATTCGACATTCTGTTTCCGTGCAAGCCGCTGTGGCGGGATTATTCCCACCAGGGCAGGGCCGCTGTGGCGGGTTGGGGGCCGCCATAGCGGGATAGTCGCAATTTAAGTCAGAAATAAATCCCAAAATTATTTTATTCTGCAAGTTTCGACTTTGAAAGATAGGAGACGACCCCATGTGCTTTCTTAACGGTTTTTCGCCATTCTTATGGCTAAAGCTAAGGTTTTAACTCCCTGAATCCATTTTTCAATCCGTAGAATGTAAATTCGTGGGTGATTATCAATGGGGAAGAGTTTTGATCTGAAAATTATGGTGGGAAAATCCCTAATCTGGGTATTAGGATCTTGGGTTCGGTATAGGGTTATTGGGGTTGTTATAATCCAGATAATTAGACCTTTGATTGTTGATCCTTGCGTATATTAATTGTTTGTAGACCTAGAACATGCGGAAAGAATACAGAAAGAGAAGATTCAAGTGCCTTAGGAGATTCAATCTTGGATTCGAGGTAGGTGATGGTTGCGATTTCATGTTGGTGTGATATATGTTTGTAATTGCTCATTATAATGCATGTATGTATGTGAATGTTGCATTATTGATCACCCTAATCGTAAATGAGGATAATTGAATAATTGTATGCCATGAATCACCTCTTGTTGTATGATTGTGAGAATATACATTGTGATTGTGGTTTGTTGAATGGATCGGGTGTTACGTTCTGACACACTAACTTGGATCGGTTGCCACATTCCGGCATAAATATGAGATCAGTTTCCACGCTCCGACATAAATATGGGATCGATTGCCACATTTTGGCATAAACATTGGATCGGGTACCACGAACCGGTCACGAACCGGTTGGGTTCCATGAGAGGACCATTGAATTGGGTTCCATGAGAGGACCATTGAATTGTGTTGTGTATCTATTTGTGTTGATTACGTTCATATATAATGGTGATTGAGGTTGAAAGTTTGTTTGTTGCTCTAAAATTATAACTAATGTGTATTTTTTAGAACGTGGAATGCTACATTGATCCTGAAAAAAGATGACTAATATTGTATATGTTCGATATATGCCTGTTTTATAATGTTGTGGTTACTTGCATGTGTTTCACTTATTGGGATAGTCGCATGATCCTACCAGTACACTGTGGTTGTGTACTGATACTGTACTTGCTTGTTCTTTGTTGAGTACAGGGCATCTTCAGGCGGCTATTGATAGACCTCAGCTAGGTGACTATTGAGCGTGATCGGATTCAAGGGTGAGCCAGTTCTTTCAGGCTGCCATGGATCTCTCTTGTTTAAGTCCACTCTTTTCGGACTCAGACTATTTGTTTAAGGTGTTTGTTTAGTTTCGGGGTTGTACCCCTTGTTCTTAGGCTTGTAGTTAGTAGAGTTTTGGTAGAATGACTTTCAGGTTCTAGGGGTTGTTCTTCCGCATTAGTTTGGCTAGTTTATTCAAACCTTTGGAGTTTATGGGAACTCCGTATTTCTTTTTGTCATTTAAACCTGCTTCTGTATCTTTAACTACATAGTATTTTGTTAAGTTCTTAGTTTGGGTTGTAGTAATGGTTCTCCCACCGGAGGGTTAGTGTGGGTGTCAATCACGAAGGTCTGAGTCATGACAAAGTTGGTATCAGAGCCCTAGGTTCGTTGATCTCATTGTACCAAAACGAGTCTAGTAGCATCTTGCGGAACGGTACGAAGATGTTCGTACTTTTCTTCAAGAGGCTATAGGACTTTAGGAAAAACTCACTTATTTCTACTCCTTCGTGCTATGACTTGAATCCAATTGGTATGTGGGTGATACAAATTGGTATCTTTCCTCCTTCACTCTATGGTTCGAGCTAGAGCAACAAAAGTGGTAACACCATCACTAGCAAAAGAGGATGTGAATAGACTACCGACAGTTAAATAGGGTCACCATTCACAACAAGTATCCACTGCCTCAGATAAATGATCTTTTGACTAGTTACAGGGTGCATCAGTTTACATTTTGCTCTTAAACTGGGAGACCGGTAATGGTCATCTATGGAACAAACTAATTTAGAAATCAGGCTTGTTTGTGAGTTGTAACTTGAAAAACTGTGAATGTGTGTTCCTAGTTGCATGAATTAACTTTGAATGTGGAAGTTGTATTTGCTTGGACGTGATGATATGATCATGTGCACAATAAGTGTGGGTCTAATTTTTTATATGTGCAATATGCTGGGTGAATTGATTGAAACTATTCAAGTTGTAATTGTTGAGTATCGTGAAACTTGTTGTGAAAAGAAGGTCACGACTATGCTGAGTGATATTGTACGAGGTAATTCGTAAGAAAGATATGGACATGTCTTGCGCTTGAATAATAACCGCGTGAGTGTCTGGGTGTATCGTGGGTATGTGTGGGTTATGGTGTTGAATTAATGAGAATGAGTTGGATTGACTCGGGGTAGACAATGATTATCCTAGTTCATAGGATTATCCTAAATTGCTCAGCAAAGCTAAAACCCTTTGGGAGATTTAGAAAAGAGAAAAACCCCATAAAAACTTATCGCCTGAGTACTGTTTCCGTCTGAGCCTTTGGGGCGGGATTTTTTCCGTCAGCGCGAGGCTGCCAGAGCGGGACAAGGTGAGACCATTTTTTAGCCTTGTCTCCTTTATTTTTCCCAGGGCTCCTTATAGAACCCGGATCGAATCCGAACTAACCCCTGCAATCCAATCAATGTTCAGCAATCGAGGATAGACTATAAAACTTTGTAATAAATCGAATTCTGTAAAAAACCACAGAAAAACTGGCATCCATGTGATTACAAAAATAAAAGGGGTGTGCGAAATTTTCTTCGTGTGAATTTTGATTGATTTCGGTTGCCTTTTTGGGGAATGTAGTTCAAGGGAAGGGGTAATGATAGATCCCCAAAAGATTGAAGCAATCAGGAATTGGGTTCGACTTAGTTCTGTGACTGAAATTAAGAGTTTCGTGGGGATCGCTAGCTACTATCGTCGCTTGTGAAGGGATTTTAAGGTTAGATTTGCAGATTCAAGTTTATAGGTGACAACATTCAAGAAGTTTTGGTAAGAGAAGGTTAGATAATGAACACCATTACTTTGGAAAATGCATTTAGTATTGTTTTCATAACATGTATGGGTTGTTTAGAGAATGATGAAATTAAGTTATGTTATTTGAGGTTCGAAGTTATACTACGATTTCATGGATTGTTTGTATATCAAGAAGAGGTCAGGATACGACTGCTCCAATAACATCGAGGTTTACTTGGTTAAGTTAT